CAATAACTGTCTCTGAACTCTGCAACTCACATTGCACACGAGCCAATAGCCTTGTGGCATTATAGAATGGCATTACAGAGGGCTCGACCTAGAAGTATGGAATCTAAGTGGTATGTTTGTTCTTGGATATAGCCATCTTTTATTTAATGTTGACTGTCATAATGCTGACTTTATGCAATTTGACTATATGTCAGCAATGTGATGGTAAGAGATTGTGTAACAACAATTTCCAAATGGACTATCTTGGAAGTCTTCTTTCGGCAGTGAACAAAGCCAACTATTTCCCGTGTTTAAACAACACCAATGTTGTATGCTCTATTGTAGAAGCTCGGGGCGTGACATTCATAATCAAAGAATTCAAATCAGATGGACCTGCCAGAACACCAATAATGGGAACAGAACTTTAAAAAAATCTGTGTTTTACATTCATCTTATTAATTCTTAATTGTTTTCTTGTATTCTGTGGTTTGTTATAACAAAGAAAAACACCATGTACACCAAGAAAAAAATCATCAATTGTATTTTTCACAACCCCTGTAAGGCTGTTCTATATTTTAATCCTTTATAGAAGCCCAAATCTGATATTACCAATACTTCAACATCATAATGATGACACAGAAGTTTTTAAACATATAATATCTGAAGTTTTCGAAATCAGTTTTAAGTTTCCCTGAAATCGTACAATCAAATGCCTTAGATGTGCCTTTTTCAGCCATAATCATCATTTACAGATCTTTTGGATGCATACATAGCAAATCTAACTGCAAGCAGCGTTATTCAGAGTTCATATAGTTGTCTTTAAGACTGAAGTCACATATAAGAGATCCCTGGCTTTCAAATCACTAAAACACTGGATTCATCAAACCCTGAAAGATGAACTCAAGATTCCGCCCAAGATATGGATGCACAAAAGAAGGCAATGGTTCAAGGGCACACATATTAGTGGAAACAATTCAATCCTTAAACTCATTTATTATGCTCCAAATATACCAAATAAAAAGGTAAGCAAATCACTAAAGCCTAACCTCCGCTACCTCAGGTCAAACCATGAAATATTGTACCAGTACCACCATTTGATCATGGAAATACACACTATTTCATAGTAATCACCAACTCACAAGTAATTTCTACAAGTTTATAGCTTCTAGAGCACATATATAGGATAGTGAACTTAAAATATCTGACTTAATTCATCATAAAATCAGAGTTACCATGGACACTAGAATAACTACTCTTAAAATATCTGACTTAATTCATCATAAAATCAGAGTTACCATGGACACTAGAATAACTACTCCCTGTGCATTCACTAGGAACATCCACCATATCTCTGTTTGGTTCAGAGTCGACTTCAGATAATTGCAAATCTTGCAACAAATGTCACGTTGGAAGGTATAGACAGGCAGAGAATATATACTACAGGAACAACTTCAAGAGAATAAAACTTTATGATGCCACCTCTAGTACGTCTTCCATATCAGAGCAGACTTATGCTAGAAGTCTAGTACTTTATCATAGCATTTATCAGAGTAATGTTAAAGTAAGATTCTAGTAAATAGGATCAGTAAAAATTTTAAGTTCTTAATGGCATTAGGTTTTATATATTTATTCTATTAATTTTGAAATTGGCACAAATGCCAAAGGTCCTTTTGCTATAGATCATATGAAAAAAAAAAACAGTTAGCTTAGCTAAATCAAGCCTTCACTGCAGTAACCTGGCACAGAGGGATTTTATGAGAAGATGGACGTGATTTTTCAACACTTGTAGAAAGTCAGATACAGTATATAGCTTTAGGATTATGAGCATGTTAGGCTAAAGAACATTACTTTTCCCTACTTTAAGTAAAAAAAGTTACTTTTTTAAAAACTCTTAACTTGCTGTCAAAAGTGGTAACTATTCCGGAACTTCACCATTACAAAAGTTTATTAACTCACTTATAAGTGAACTTTCAAGTTTAACCAAACATGCTCGGCCAGATATATATAATTTGCTTCAATGGCACAACAGACAACAAGAGGAAAAAACAATACAAACATACCTAGAAACAATGCACGAACATACACAATAAGAATTGCAAACTCCAAAACAGACTATTTATTCTTCAATTTGAAATTAATTTACTAGTAATAAAGAGAGAATTCTCTAAGCAGTGTAATTACAGTTAATACATACATGTTTTCACCTGAAGAACTCTCAATTTCATGAAATGTCATCAGCAGTGACTAAATTTCAAACGCAATATAAATGTGCTTCTGTCTCTTCGATACACAAATAGTGTGCATAATTACAAATCTAATACAACCGACGCTCTAACACACACATACACACATATTTATAGGCGTAAGAAGAAGAGAGAAGGACCTGTAAGTGACTTCTCTTCGGGAAGAAGCAAAGGAGTGTTTGTACGCCAAATACCCGTTTGAAGACTCCATGTAGATAGAGAGTTTTTACTCGCAGCTAATTCTACGGTGGTTCGTCACGCTTGAAAGAGGTGGCGGAGATGTCGATGTGGTGGCGGTGACGGTGACGGCCACGGTGTAAAGATATAGTGAGAGTTGGTTACTGACTGAGAGCGATGTCGATTGGCACCTGGATTTACGATATAGTGACAGTTGCCATATAGGGAGGGCTTCTCTCCGGTAATTTCTTTACAGTTTATACAATTTCGTACTACGGATGAAGATTATACTGGTGCGACTTTAGTTCGCACTGGAGAGAAATAATTGGAGCGAGAAACTTCGTAAGTTTACTATATTCTTGGGCACTCAACTTATATTTGCCCTAATTTAGTCATTGAGCTTTTTTGCTACATATTTAGCACCCAACTTTCATTTTCTTACCTTAATAGTCTCTATTGTCAACTCGGTAAAGCTAATGGAACGTGCACATAACAGACGAAAATTATACGCGGCACAAACTGAAACATTAAATAGCAACTGAACAAATATTTGTAGACAATATCTTTACCAAAAGTAAGAATGTGCACGGGGTTTTCTTTGACAGTTTCTTTGTCACAACATTCTTAACTGATGATATTTTGCTATTATTTAACATTTTAGCTTTTGTCGCATACAATTTTCATCTGTCGTGGCATATTCTATTAGTTTTTGTTGACAAAGTTGACAACCGTTATTGATGGAGTAAGAAGATAAAAGTTTAGGGTACTTCGAAGCAAAGAAAAAAAAGTTATGCTTGCTAACATAGGGCCACCTTATAAGTTAAGGACCAAACAAGTTTTTAACCTTTATAAAATAATCGAAGTTGGAAAAAGTAAATTATTTATTTTGATATTAAGTAGGGGCGTACACTTTCAAAAATCGAAAAAAGCGAAAATAGACAAGAATCACATAGTTACCAAATCGGACCCCAAGCAATCACAACAAACAATGTATTCTTTGCATCGTCAACTGACCAATTCTAGGTGTTGCAATTTTTGGACAATAATTTATGCCCACTCCTACGACATAAAGTAAGAACTATTTTTAAATGAAAATTGAAGTCATCTTTTGGATTTTTTGGAATAAAGGAGATATTTTTAGAAAGAACACGAGTACAACAAATAGAGTTTGAGGACGTGTGTATCACACTTGTGAAAAGTTAAGGACGCAAAATGGAATTTACCCTTTTTCAAATGCCTAAACGAAAAATGGAATTTTGTTTGGTAAACTATAAATGTACTACAAAAGTAAAAATCAAAATTTTGCCAATCTTGTTAATCATTACATGCGAACAAGATAAACAAAAAGGCATGGTAAATTCAGTGATTAGAACATGTTGTGTAAAGACTATTATATTCATGATTATAATAGTTACTTAATTTCAATGTACATCCTAAAAGAGAGAGTGTTGGTATGGTCCTCTTGACCTAATACAACAATTTCGAATTCTTGTACAGATTGATAGACATGAACTTTCCACTACTAGAGGACACGTTAGCTCGATTTTAACTTACTGTTTTTGTATTGAAAGTAGTGCTTCCTCTCTTATTTATTTCCTGCATTTACTGTATTTATTCACTTTTGGGAGGTCAGGTTTATGATCCTCTTTCTATTGTTCACGTGAGTTTGATATTATATATATGGTGGGGGAATTCAAACCCCATCGGTCTTCCTTGGTAGAACCTGAAAATTCACTGAGACTGTATTAATATTTTGTTTTTTTCAAAAAAAATATAGCATACATATTTTAGTTACTATAGATGGAATTGCTTTACATTTATGGTTATAATGTTGAAAAGTTATTATTGAGAATAAAAGTTAATCCATCAATGTTTATAAGTGCCTACCAACCATATCAATGTGTGCTATGTAAAGAAAGTGGAGACTTTAAGGTGGTTGGGGAACATTATCTTTGATTGAAAATGTCGTGGTATTCTCCATTTGGGAAAATTACATTCACTTATAACTTTTTGGGAAATATATATATGATATACTTAAAACATTTTAAAATTAAAATGGTGTCCCAATATATTTTTTCTTTTTATTTATCACCTATTTTGTTATGCTTAATAAATATATTTTGTTTTTTACATCTATCGAATTTTTTTTTTTTTTTTTTTGAATTATTTACATGTAGATATGAATGTATCGTTTCATTTTGTCATTTACATAAAAATAAAAAATTCACTATGACTTGCATTTTATTCTTAGAATATTGTCTCAAAGTTACTTCATACTTTGTCATGTTTATGTGCTTTTAAAGGTATTCTCTTTTTCAGTGTAAACTCTGGAAGAAAGATTTGAATGTCCTCTCCTGTGAGCATAAAAACACGTCTAGCTTTTGATGGTGTGAAAAACCGATATTTATAAGTGGTATTCAATTGAGACTTTTAATAATTTTTTGGGATTTAAAAAGTTTAACTGTATTCAATATAGACTTTTGGATACTCTCTAAAAGTATTGATATATTCGATTGAGACTTTTATAAACATTGAAAAAGTCTCTAAAAATCACGGTGTATTCAATTAAAACTTTTTAGAAGTCTCTATGAGTTTTGGGGTATTCAAATTTTAACGACTTTTAGAAATTTTTATAAAAGTCTCAATGGTACTAACTTTTAAGCAGGATATACTAAAATAAAATTTCGAAATTTGTCTCTCACTAATCACAAGATTTTGGGAGACTTTCACAAAAAAAAAAAAAAAAAA